TCTCGTTTACTCTGGATAATCTAAGGGGGATCAAGTAAAAGTCTGTCACTTCAAGCAACCTTTATCCTAAATAACATCTTTGTTGTATATAGACTTAAACATGGCAGCATTCTCAATAACTCAGCCTTTCTATCTTTTACTCTTTTTTATTATTACCAAATTTATGTGCCCTTTTCCTGCATGTCCTTTTCTAGATCTCATTTTTCAACAGAATCAACTCTCCCAATATTTTGCAACGCCTTTATACAATCTTGCTTGATGCAGTTCCAAAAAGAAAAAAAAGGGGGGGAAATTATTTGGATTAGGGATAGAAGACCTGTAGCCTTCCAGATGTTACTGAAAGCCTTCCAGCTTTGGACATGTGGTTGCATTTGCTAGATGATGTGACCCATCAGCTGTTCTGGAACTACAACTTCCCCCAGTGTCATTTAAGTTAATCAAAATAAGATGCGTCTGGTGGCCTGTATCTTTTTGTTTTCATATAGCCTTCGGTTTGTTGATAAATAAAAATATGGACAAAAACTCTGTCTTAATGAAAAAGAGCAGCTCTTTTAATAGGACATTCCATAATAGGACGGATAAACAATTTTGGAAGAGAGGCTCCTGAATTAGTGCGACAGGAGATAAGATCACAGACTGCTTCCTGCTCTAAATTATGTTTTCCATATTGATGTTCATCAAATGATCTTTTGCATGCAGTATTAATGTAACGAAATATTTTTTAGGAGTCCAAATTTCTGTTTTTTGAGAGCTTCTGCCTCACAGGCATGGCTTCCTTCTTGATCTTTTGTGCTTCCCCCACGCCCCAATACTCCTGGTCACAAGGATATTAGATTGTCATATCTGCTCTAAATTTTAGTAATTGTTCATACTGTATGATTTACAGTTTCTACCATTATTATATTTTATATTGCAAGATATTTTTTTGCAGACCTTTAAGTTTATTACTGAGTTTTTCATTAAATGTTATATATTAAAATATCAGAAGATACTACTTACGTGGTGCCTGGAGAAAGAAAGGCCAGCAGAAAATTTTAATTGGAATCTCCTTTTGACTTTGATTCAGCTTCTCTCTCATTAATGATCAACTCCCTTAATCAAATGGGACTCCTAGTTTACACTTCAACTCTCTAAATTCCTACTCAGAACTAAGTCCCACACGTCATGCTTCCTAGAAAGGATGCTTAAAATTGTTTTGTTTTATTATTTTATTTTATACATTTGTGTGCTGTTCATCTGGAGGTGACTCTGGGTGACTTACAAATATTTAAAAACCAGTAAACATTAAAATGGCAAAACGATAAACAACAACAATAATAATTTACAGTTAAAAGATGTGGAGGAAGGGAGCATGAAGAATTATAGCCTAAAATACAATTGTTTAGGACTAAATTAACCTTTAATTCCTTAGGAATGGTTTAAATCCAGGGGTGGGTTTCTACCAGTTCACACCTATTGCTAGAACCAGTTGTTGACATTCTAAGCGGTTCGGAGAACCAGTTCTTAGAATAAATTATTGGCCTAATCCTGTAAGGTAAGCAGGAAGGAAACATTAAGAGTTGTTAACCTAATCCTACGTAGCTTTTTCTCTGGTAATATCACACTACTAACTAGAGCATACAAAACATTTGCTAAACCAATACTCGAATACAGCTCATCAGTCTGGAACCCACATTACGTATCTGATATTAGCACAATTGAGAAAGTCCAGAAATATTTCACAAGAAGAGTTCTCCACTCTTCTACTCGTTGTAGAATACCTTATGCCACCAGACTTGAAATTCTAGAACT